TTCCTTGGAGTCAGTCATTGTGATTCACTGAAAGATGTTTCCCTGTGGTGGGGCTGTTCTCTCCTGTTTTACACAGGGAAGAGAGGGAGCGAAGATGGAAGCAGTATCTTTGGACTTGTAAACAGAAGAACGTATCAGTGAAGTTTGCAGCTAGTACCAAGTCTTGAAATGAACAGCTCATTGTGAGTGCTAAATGTTTGGGCAAACACATTCCCTTTAAAAATTATGAGAAATATGCTTCTCTCCAACATGCTGCAACTCCTACATGTTGCCTGCAGTGAAAGTATGAAAACAGCTCAGGAGGTCGAGGAAGAGTCTCTTGGTTGGTTGGTTATTTTTGTTTCAGTGCAGCCTTGGTTCACAAAATATAGCTTATAGCATGAAACTGAGCCAAGGTAGCTGGGAGGCCTCTCTGAGTGACCAGACTTTTGAGGTTACATAATCTCTTTTTCTATTCTGGGGAGAGAGAAGGGAGAATGGGAGGCAAAGTACTCTTGTAAAAGTAGGTATAAACCTGTAAAAACACAAGAGGATCAGATCCCAGAACCATGACTTAAAATATTTTCAGTATTTTGGGCTGTTGTTTCTAAAAGAAGATCATGTTCATAAACAGAACCAGAGAAAACCCTGGAGGGTCAGTCCTGTATTTGACTCCAAATATTATTATATTGGCTCAGACTGCCCCTTTTCTGGCCTCTCCTGTTATCCTGTTGAATTCATTAGAAGGTTATGGCTACTGGCCAAAATAAATGGTTAAGGCATCTCAGATCTCATATTCTCTACAATATCTTGAGACAGGAATTTATAGCACTACTATAATAAAACTCAGACTTCAACATTAAAGTATAAGTCTGTGTATTTGCCATATATACCAGAATTACACAGAAAATTGGAACCATGAAACCCTGAGGAAATCAGGAAAATATGCAGTAACATCCAGAAAGAGGCCATTAGGACTTGGTTACACCTTTAAGAACAGCCTTAAGCAAGAGATAAATTACATATGATGCCAAAAATTGTGGCAGTGGAACTAAAAGAAATGCCAAATCACAAATATTTCATTTTTGGCACAATGAAGTACAGCAATTTTAGACTGCTCTAGAGCAGTTACTAGCTCAGATAAGAAAAGACAGGACTGAGTCCTGGCTCCACCCTTGCTTTGCTCCTCTGTGCCTCTGCCCATCTCCAAGATGGTTATTTTTTCCTTTGATATAGCTATTCTGTGTTCTGCTCTATTATCTTTTATATTATCTTTGTTATGCATTCAAAGCACAGTGAAATATGTGCTTTCCATCCCCAAAGAGTACATATCAATAATTTTTTGCAGGAATTACAAATATTGCTTTTAAAGAACTGTATAGCTTTTTCCTGTAAAGGAATGGAAGTATAGACTTTGCCTAAAATCTTGGAACAGACTTTCATTTATGAGACAGGGGAATCATTTTTGTTCCACTAGATGAATTCAGTGGGCTGCCACAGGCCAGTCATAATCTGTTATTGTTTCCCTGCAACCTTGTACTATTAATTTTTATTTTTAATGAACTGTCCAGTCTAGTCTAGCTATGGGAACTATGATGGAGCTGCAATATAAATGGTTTATGTCGTGCCTTTGTCAAAAGGCTCTCCCCTACAGCACTAGAATGTAATTGAAAAGCCATTTTGAAATAAAGTAACTGAATGGTTGCACATGCATGTTGTCAGGAATAGAGTGGGAAAATCCTTTGCCTTACATTATATTTTACCAATCACACCCTGTATGACCTTCTTAGTGTTTATACAAATTAGTAAAGTCACTTAAATTGCATATGTTTGCATGGCTGTATCAGCAGGTATTCCTGAAATATACTGAAGCCATTTTTTAAGAAGTTTTCATTCAACTGTGACTAACAATGCAGTAATTGGTTTGGTTAAATAGCCTAAAAGAGTCAAATACACTAGATTTTGTTCTATTTATAGCATACAGAATATGCCCATGTTTAAGAGAGCAAACTAGCTTCTGGGTAGAATCCAAGACAGTTTTTGTTGCATAGGAAATTTTGAATGGCTGAGTACACAGTAATCTTTTTATATACAATGTATATGTACAAGATGCCCAGTTGAGTTTTCTCTTATTTCTTCTAGCCCTGGATGTGTGTGTGTCTTAGAGGTATGTTTTATTAAATGCTGCTATGTTGTTGTTGTTGCTGTTATTATTATTGCCTAAAAACAACTATAGAGAGCATTTATAGTTGAAGCTGACAACAGTTTTCTCAATAAATTTCTATCAAAATTGTTTCTGAAAGACTTTGACTTAGCTTTTGGCTCACACCTCTTACCTTTAAAATAACTATAGAAATTTTCTCAGAAATTATTTTTTTCAGAACACGTTTTTCACAATTATTCACAAAATATTTGAAGTTGTATAATCACTCTTCTTCAGTGTATGTACCAGAACCTATGTCTTATATTTATTCAAGAATATTTCCAAATGTGTTTTATCACAAGCAAGTCTTCAAGACCACCACAAAGCAGAGGTAACAAAATCAGGTTCCATCTCATTAAACTGAGATGTGAAATGAGACTGACACAAGCAGATTGGTCTTCTTAACACTTCATTGTCAGGGCTTACTTTAAGAACAACCAAATAATTTTAAGTACGTGGCAGAGTCATCCTTCTGAAATCAAAGATATTGCCCTCATCTATGAGACTATTTCATTTATCCTACTAATATCCATCAAAAAAATATAGGCAATAAGCTAATCCTGCACATATACTTGGTGTTTGTTCTGCCGACTGAAGCTGAGATTTCAAAAATTCAGGTCTTAAAACCTGTATAAATGGCTACTTGTATAGAAGTGAAGTGAGATGTGTAATACAGGTTAAAGTAGGCAATGGGAGATATAACACTTTCTGTTCAGATATGTAGGCCTCATTAAATGTGCTAGCACTGTAGTAAGACAGGGTGATTCTAGGTAACTGAAAATGAATCCACATGGCATTTGTGCAGAAACAAAAAGATCCAGTTATTTCTTTCCAAGATCTACTTTCTATGTTAGGAATACTATGTTTTTCCCATTATAGTCTAGGCTTACTATGTGAATTAAAACAAATAATAAAAAGGATGCTATAGATGAAAGAGGCAAAGCATACACTAAACAATACTGATTTATATATCCAGTAAGTGAATCTAAGTTTCTCATCCTATATGAGAGGAATTTTTAAATACGGCAGTATTGTTTTTTAGGATCCCCTGTAGCCTTTATTCGCATACATTTTTCAGAGTAATATAGTTAAGAAGAAATGTATCTGTTCAGCCTACTTGCAAAAAAAGCAATCTCTAGTCAGGATAGTCACTATTAATGAAGCTACTTGGCCATCTTCCTGTAAGACTGAGTAGCCAAGCCTATGATATAGCTCCAAATCAGCTCAGTGGTGCCTTTCTGTCTGCCCTGTTGTTCTCTGTTCCATTAACAATAGTTAAACATGAATATTTACCTTTTCAACTCTTTGATTATCTAGACACTATAGCAGGAAATTTGCATTCCCGAACAGGCACAGCTGGAAAAAAAATTTAAGAAAGAAAGATCCTTTAAAGGAAGAGAAGAGAATTTAAGTAGCATATGGATGGTCAGGTTTACATGATAATCAACAAAAGCAGTGCTTGTTCCACCTCTTTTGCAGGGAGGCACTTCACACTCCAAGCAGGAGTCCCACAGTCACTCTGCAGGAAGCTTTCCTTCAGAAACGACTTGCTTGAACTCGGAAACGTCAAAAAGTCTATGAAAACAGTTACACAGTTTCTCAGGTAAGACATGAAAAACACTTGAGTAGGGACTCTGTTAAATTCACTTAGCTCATACACTAGTGAGAGTGACGGGAGTTTTCCTTTAAGGTTATTCCTCACAGCCCTTTAATTTGTAAAAATTAAATCCACTTGGAAGTGTAGCTCCGAAGTCAAGAACAGTAGAAAGAGGCCTCAACTAAACTTTAAAGTGAGATTTAAGAAAACGCCAGAAGATACAAAGTGAAACAGTGGTGAGAAAATTCACATGACTGTGCATGGAAGGGAGACTCAGAGACACTGAACACAAAACTAAATTAAGGTATTTTTGCTGTATCTTCTTGATAACTATATATGAATTTCACACACAAACACAGAATGTTAGGATTTGGGAGAAGTCTTCAGTCACACCAAACACTAACTTCATGCTACTGAAAAGCAAGAACTGAACGTTGTTTGCAAAATTTGGCCCTTGTGTTTAGTGAATGACAAAATAAGAGCCTGACCTGCAGCTCTTCCTAAAGTGCAAAGGAGCCTACACATTTCCCACCTAAGTTAAACTGTTGAGTTGTGATACTGTTGGCATCACAGTCAAATACACTCCGTTTCAGCCTGACAGTAATTGCTGCAGTCTACCTTAACAACTGGTGGATACCAAACACACATACCCTATATAGATGCTTACAAGCATGTTTCAGTAGAATGTTGGGCTGCCAGAACTAAGATTATTATTATTCAAGGACATTTCCACAGAAATTAAGCATCTGTCAGGGCAGGACTTGAGTGCACTGAATATAAAAACTGTGAATGAGTCAGCTAGACAAAGAGCTTTAATATCCTGACTTTGTACTCTTTATCCCAGACAACTCAGATGGGATCATGCCTTTGATTCTGTATAAATTATAGTATTTACATATTTACATATTTTTATGTATTACATTTAATCCGTTTCTGTGTGAATTTTTTAAAAAAAGCATGAATACTCCTGTAAGTGAACATTTCTGTCCTCTATGGAATCACTAGTTTCAGTAACAGCACAACTGGAAGTCACAGAGAATATGAAAAATTAAGGTAATCAGAGCAAAAGATACAACTGGTTTTAGGTCTAGGGTTTCCCATACTGCTCTATTTCCACAGTCGCCTTCTCTGAAGCTTAAGAGTCACCACTAAATTCCTTGTATAAGCCAAGTCTGACCAGTAAACCACTCAGAAGATTATAGCTTTGAATGTACTACTTACCTTCACCCACTGGAAACTCGTTGCCAATTTTCGTAGCATATTCCACACATTTGAAATTACAATGAGACAATGAAGACAATGCAGATGTAAGTTTCCTGCTGCCACTTGTCCAGTACTTCAGCTCCAGCTGCAAAGAATGAAAAAATTCATTTGAAATCCAATGAAATATTGGTACCATAACAAAGAAAACTAAAATCTAGCCTAAAAAACTGTCACAGTAGCTGAAAAAGAGTTTAATGGCAAGCAATTAAATAATGCTTATAATTCTAAGGAGAAAATTAATAAATAGCTTTTGCCTTAATAGACTTATTATTGCAAGACTGTTCCTATAACTAAAATACTGGAGGCCACATTAAAATTCCTTCACATCTTCTCCATTATCTCCTGAAAAAACAAAGAGTTCTATGGAAAAATCTGTTCTGGGAATATGATCCATTACAAGATCCACTGTAGG